AGGTCATCCAGCAGCTGCATGTGGAGGAGGGGGGAATCAAACCTGGTTCTCCCGGATTAGAGTCCACGCACTTAACCAGTACACTGTCCACTTAACCACTTTCTCCCCACCCCCCCCCCCCCCAACACAGACACACACAACATGGGCTGCAAGCTCAGCTCTGTTTTCATCCCAGCCGCTGGGACAGTCGCCCAGAATTCGGGCTGATTCAGCTCTTGCCGGGTTTCATGACCAGACTTGTCTTCCACCCTACGCGGAGGCGAAGGAGCACAGCTTTGTGCTCTCTGCTCCTTCGGGCTGCAAAAATGCTGGGCCATCCCTTGCCATGTCAAAAGCATGCCGCCCTCCCCCGGGAAAGCGCTACAACCTCGGCTTTCTGTCACCAACGGGTGAGTTTACTACATGCAGGAAGCTTATCACACAAGGGCGTGCAATCCCCCCCCAAAAAAGTGGTAAAGTCCAAATCTCCACCACTTTGAAGTGTGTAATGTGTTTGTTTGCTTGTTTATTGATTGATTCAATTTATAACCACCACCCTCTCCCCGCCAAAGCAGGCTCAAGGTGGCTTAACATCAAAGTTAAAACACACAAAACAACCATAAACAATATAAACATCATAAAGTGCTAGTGACACTGGTGCTCATCAACAGTCGTATTATGCATTGATGGCAGCTGGTCAGGGGTTCCCAAGTTCTTTGGGCCTGTGGGCACCTCTGGAATTCTGACACTGCATGTTGGGCGCAGCCACTAAACAGCTGTTGGCACAGGGTTGCCAGGTGCCCACTGGCCACCAGCAGGGGATGAGGAGGGGAGGGTTGCCAGATCCAGATTGGGAAATTCTTGGAGATTTGGGGATGGAGCCTGGGGAGGACAGGGACCAGAGTGGGGTACGGTGCCACAGAGTCCACCCTCCGAAGCAGCCATTTTCTCCAGGGGAACTGATTTCTGAAGCCTGGAGATGAGCTGTAATACCAGGGGATCCCCAGGTCCCACCTGGAGGCTGGCATCCCTACAGTATCGCAGGGGGCAGAGCCAGCCACAAAACAGCTGCCACCAGTGTTCCCTCTAAGCTGAGTGAGTGTGAGCTAGCTCACCGTTTTTTAGCCTCTGGCTCACACCTTTTTGTCTGGGCTCAGGAAGGGTGGCTCTAATTCATGCAGCAGCCAAACTGCTCGCTCACAACTTTAATGCCAGCAGCTGCAAAGTAGAATTTTTGCGCACAAGACTCCACAGGCTAGAGGGAGCACGGGCTGCCGCAGCTGACCTTTAGTTATACAGTGTGAAGATCCTTGCGCTGTGCTACAGAAGAAATGCTTTTAAGCCATAGTTCAAAAGAATCTATTCTTCGGCGCTCGGCCTTCCTTATAGTCCAACTCTTGCAGCCATACATGACTACTGGGAATACTACTGGGAATACCATTGCTTTGACCATGCGGACTTTTGTTGGCAGGGTGATGTCTATACTTTTTATTATGCTGTTTAGGTTCGCCATTGCTTTCCTCCCAAGGAGCAGGCGTTTTTTAATTTCATGGCTGCTGTCATAGTCTGCGATGATCTGGGATCCCAGGAACGTGAAGTCTGTCACTACTTCCACGACTTCCCCTTCTATTTGCCAAGGAGTGATGGGGCCGGATGCCGTGATCTTAGTTTTTTTTATATTGAGCTTCAAGCCCACTTTTGCGCTCTCCTCTTTTACCCTGAGCAAGAAGCTCTTAAGGTCCTCTTCACTTTCTGCCATTAGAGTGGTATTGTCTGCATATCTGAGGTTGTTGATCATTTCCCAGCAATCTTAATTCCCGCTTGTGATTCATCCAGGCCAACATTTCGCATGATGTACTCTGCATATATATTAAATATAAAGCATCTGTACAGCCAATAAAATCAATGGCCAATCAGAAGCCTCACTGGATTGGTTAAGCGGCAAAAGGAAACCGGGCCACCAGCAATCACGGTGGCTAGACACCATGAAAGTCGACACCAGCCTGAGCATGGAACAACTCAAAGGAACAGTACAAGATCGGAAAAAGTGGAGAGAACTGGCCTGTAGAATCGCCAAGAGTCAGACATGACTGACTGGCTAACAGCAAAAACTGCAATGCTGATTTTAACTATCTTGTTGTAGCTATCTTGTTGTAAGCCACCCTGAGCCCTACTTGTAGGGAAGGGCAGCCTAGCAAATCCAATTTAATAAATAAGTAAATAAAATAAAATAATGGAATCCAAGAGACCACTCCTAAGTCTCTTGTTCCTTGGATTTCACGGCATTCCCTTGTATCAGCCTCCCTTACTGCGAGATCAAACCAGGAGATAGGGCAGGGACATAAATACTAGAAAGGAAAAGATTATCCTTGTAAGAAAGCAACTGCAAGAGGCTGTGCCTGTGATACTCCAGAAAGGAGTCTGCCAGCAGGGTGCGTGTGGGATGCTGCGTCTGGTGCCGAAAACAGCCTTTTTAAAAAAAATAAACTTGGAGTGTTTGTTTCTCCTTGGCCCATACTGTTTAATTTAAAGGGATGATGCCGGGTGTGGGGTTTTTTTCACCCTTACTATCATTTTTTCCCCCAGCTGGTTTTATAAATTTTAACTCATTCTTTAAGGTCTGTACTGAAGTTGAGGGTTTTTTTTTGTCTTTTTGGAAACCTGCGTGTAAAAACATTCAAAACATTGTCAGTAAAGGACCAGGGAGGGAAATCAGAGGGTTATCGCTGCTCCTATTTCTCCACACCTCAAACACGAAACCCTCTGGAAGGTCTGTGTCGGAGTATCAAACATGTGGCGGGGGGGCGGAACTGGCCTGTTTAGGGTTCTTATGCAGCCCGCGAGCAACTGGTACAAGAGAGGGAAGGCAGGAGGCTGCTGGGAGGGGAGTGGGCAGGGGGGTACAAAGGGTCAGGGGTGTGTGGTCAAAGCTGTCAAGAAATGAAAGGAAACGGCTAGGGCAGGGGTGTCAAATTCATTTGTTATGAGGGCCGGATCTGACATAAATGAGACCTTATTGGCCTGGGCCACGTGTGTCATAGAATGTAATGCCAGGGAGCGGAGATATAAACTTTATAAAGGACACAAACACAAAGGGTTGTTTTTTAACTTAAAATAAAAACATGCTTAAAACATTAGCACTCTTGCAATATTTTGTTTATTTAACCGAGTCTGATAACTGACACCACTCGCTCTGAATTATTGCATCAAAATGTCTCTGCTGTTGCAATCTTGAATATGCTGTTCAAGTGTGTATCTGTAAGCTGCAAACCTACCATGATGCAGCAGCAGCAGCAGAACTGGAAGAAGAAGCAGAAGACAGCCAGTTCCACTGCGGGCCTGATAGAAGCCCTCCAGGGGCCTGATTTGGCCCCCGGGCTGCATGTTTGACACCCCTGGGCTAGGGGTGGGTATAGTATCCTTTGGGAAACACCTAGTCTTAAACAACCAGAAGTCAGATATCAGGAGGAGAAAGACGCATCCAACTTTCTTTCACCAGCTTGCTACACTTGGGGGGTCAGAATAGTTTTTGACAGGGAGGAGTTGGACCCTACACTCAGACTGTAAACTCCGCTTACCGAGTAAACACCAGTAGGTTCAGATTACTGTCTCCCTTATCACAAACCCAATCAACGTCTTTAATACATTCCCATCCAGTCCCATGATAACAGGGCAGAAGAAACAAACAAACAGTCTAGCAGCTCTTGGAGTTTTTGAAGAGAGGCCCACTTCTGAATTTACTGCACTCTTCCAAGCCCATTTACAAATTAACTCTGGGCTGCTCTCTTCCTTCCCAACATAAGATGCGAGAGTCTCATATCAGAACACCAAACAAATTTCTCTTTCTCTCTCTTTTTTATGCTTAAAGGTAAAGGTAAAGGTTCCCTTGCTCGAAAGCCAGTCGAATCCGACTCTAGGGTTGTGGTGCTCATCTCCGTTTCAAAGCAGAAGAGCCAGCGCTGTCCGAAGACGTTTCCATGGTTATGTGGCCGGCATGACTAAACACCAAGGCGCACGGAACGCTGTTACCTTCCCACCGAAGTGGTACCTATTATCTACCTGCAATTTCTTGCTTTCGAACTGCTAGGTTGGCAGGAGCTGGAACCAGAGACGGGAGCTCACTCCGTCTTGCGGCACCCGGGTCTCGAACTGCTGAACTACTGACCTTCCACAGCCTGCAGTTCAGCGTCTTAACCACTTGAGCCACCGCAGCTCCTTCTTTTTTATGCTTAGCATACACAAATATATGGTGTGGTTGATCAAGAGGCTGACTTCATGGCTCACTTGTTGTAGAGAAACAAGCCCAAATGGGCTGTTGAAAGATCTCTCCCCAGATCACCAAGTGTTACCTCCTCTGCTTGGACCACCTGTCAGACGAGCGTCTGGCCACTTTTGCATCCCAACCCCACAGTCTGAGAACCACCGATCTAGACAACTGTATGGCAAATAGCAGGATTTTAAAAAGGAAATTCGTGCATCCAGATTTTGTAGGATTTGCTTCCCGATGCACTTCGGAAACAAACGCTGAAGATTCATTTTTCATCTCTGAGATTATAGACAGGTGTCTTGTTTAAGCCACAACCTGGATGGCCTAGGCTAACCCAATCTCATCTGAGCTAAGCAGGGTCGACCTTGGATGGGAGACCACCCGAGGCACATAGCTTGCCTTGAAAACCCTATGAAGCCACCATAAGTCTGCAGCGACCTGACGGCACTTAACAGACAAACACAAGCAATACTACACGTTTGGACCCCTCTGAAAAGGAACTAACTTTTGCCACAAATTATATGGATCCTTTTAAACCAAATGAATGGGGGTGTCCTAACACATTGGTGAAGTGGTTGAGCACTTTGGATTACAGCGTTGTCTCCAGTTACATACTTTTAGAATCGGCTATGAACTAAATTTTTGTATTCTATTTTTAAAACCAGAAGCACAATTTTAAAACACCACAGAGAGAACAGGCATTACAGCTCCCCCTTCCCAGAGTTCCCCGGGAACCTTCAAGCCTTTGACCTACCTTACGTGCCCCAAACTATAATAGCGTGATTCTCCGTCTGTCGACCGAACCACCTTGACCGTGAACATCGGCTGCAGCTGCCTCAGCTCCAGCACCACGATAGCGAGGTAATGCACAAAAAGAAGAGAATCCACCAGCGAGACGGCAAACTGGACTATTCCCTGATAGTCGAGGTCCTTGGAGTCCAAAATGCGAACGCCATAAAAAAGCCAATAGGAGAAGACCAGCAGAAATATGAGGACCAGAATGAGGATGCGGAACACAAACAGTCTCGGGAGGCTGGCCCTGGGCTGGCGGAAAAAGAGCGCCCACGTCCCGATCAAAAGAATCAGGAGCTTGAAGGCCACGGAGATGAAGAGTCCCTCGCAGGCCGTGCCACAGGCCTGCAGCTCGTTTCTCCACAGGATCTGCGGGAGCAGGATGAAGGCAATAGGCGTGAGGAAGACCAGGAGCCCGAGGACGGCGGCCACCGTGAATACAAGGTAACGCCTGCAGTCCACACCAACGCTGTCCTCCAGGTCCTTGCCAATTCTGGCAATGTCCTCCTGGGAGACACTGTGCTCGGAGGTACCCGTAATGGCTGTCGTCGTCTCACCCCAGTTATCATCCTGAAGGGAAGAGAAGAAAGTTTCATCACTCCAACAGTTGGCAGGCACTTCCACGTGCCACTTCCAACCTGCAAAACGTGGGCTCTGTATATAATATTCCCCTGCAGCGTACGTGCTTCATCGGCTGCAAAGCAATCTGATTGACTTGGCTTTAGACTAGCATATTAGCACCTCATCTATGTGGATTCCAATACTAAAAGGATAGGAAAATATGTGTCAATTTCATAGCTTCATGCAGGAGAGAGAACTGCTATTTTTGAAGAAGGAATACTTTGAAACGAAGAGAAAATATCCGGAATCTTCGTCAAAATGAGTTTTGAGTTCAGGATTAAGAGTTTCATTTTTATATGTTTAAAGCAAGTCTTTGGACTTTTTTCATCGAGACATTTGTACTGTTACATACTTAGATGTCCAAACGTTTATGTGCAAAACCATACTTGAGTTGCGAGTTTTGTTTGTACCTAGCATTGTTAAAAAACCCTCTTTCGTTGTCATTGTTCTTTAAGACAATTGTCTGCTTAAATTACTATGTTACTCAAAATAGAAAAAAAGTTTCATTGAAAATTATTTAAATATATTTTCTTGATATATTTTGCACATTTGGGCACTTCCACATACCACTTCTGACCTGCAAAATGGGGGATATATATATATATATATATATTCCCCTGCAGCCTAGACGTATGTGTACTTTCCCATCTGCAACAGAGGTCCCCAACCTTTTTGAGCCCGTGAGCACCTCTGGAATTTCAAGAAAGGTTGGTGGGTACATTCACAAAATGGCTGCCACAGAAGGCAGAGCCACACGTGAATGCCCCCAGAGGAAGTCCAAGGGCAGGGGAGAAGAAGGGGAATGTTAAAAACACACTGGGGAAAAGGAGCAAGAGAGAGAATCAAAACCAACAATGTGGTGGAAGCTAACACTGAAGCAACGTTATTTTAATCCGCACAGCCATTCGGCTCTCCAACGTCCAGTCGCAAGCCATGCCGGGCAAGAGCCCCACACACTTCCGGAAAACTCTCGGCAAATTTGCTGGTGGGTTCCACGGCACCACACGGGGGACCCCCGGTCTACTAAGAATCTACCAGCATCGATGGTTCTTCAGAAAGGAAACTCCAGGACTTTTCCCAGGGCTCCCAGTTGATCCCTACAGAATCCAACTGGGGGAATTAGAAGCTGTGAAGCTTCCTTCCCTCACCCCCAACTGTAGACACATTTTGCATTCGAATGGATGTCTTCAATGCATTCAAGGATGCCTAGACCTAGTCGCTTCCTTAAGGTACACGAACGTACATTAACACTAACAGATGGGCCAGAGCATGCACATGTATTCCCAGGCATACTGTAGGCCACGAGTGTTAAACACAAGGCCCGGGGTCTGGAACTGGCCCGTCCAGGGCTATTAGGTGGCCCACAAGCAACTGGTGCAAGGGAGGAAACAGGAGGCTTCTTGGGGGGGGGGGGGGACTCCACTTGTGGCTTCAGCATGGTGGGACCACCCCGCTTGCAGCAGTCAAGCAGAACCCCTTCACTTCAGCCCAAGGAGAAACTACGAATCACATATATGTCAGCTATGCTGCCATGGGGGTTGGGATGTTCTTTCAGTGTCTGTGTAAATGGCCTTCGCATTCCTTTCTCTCTGCTTTCTCTCCCTTAGCGCTGAAATGCTTATCTTTGTGGTGATACTTTTATTGAAGAGCCATAGATGCATTAACACAGTCACTGTTAAGAATAGCAGTTGCCTCTTGAACCTAATGAGATATAGGGCATTCGTATGCACCCTCCCACTGCGCTGGCCAATTAGGCACCCTCCCTAACTGTAGGGATCTAATAATCAGAAAATGCTCCATTCAAAAATCAGCTTAGCTTGATTGGTGTTCTCTCTTGCCAAAACGAACTCCGTGGTGAATTTGTGGAATGAAGCACTTCACTCTCTTAAATACTTTCAAAAAGGTTTCGCATTCGAGTGAATAAGAAGTAAGGAAATGGAATCTCGGGAAGGTGCTTTTCTGCCTCCGGGCCTGCTCAACTCACCAACTTACTAGGCAGTATTGATGTACAGAAAATAATCCTGTCTGAGTGTGTGTGTGTTCCCCCAGCCCAATTTGAGAAAACACTCAGTACAATCCTGTGGAGCAGAATCAGATCTTGTACTTTATTGATCAACAAAGGAGGAAGGTGCAGATCCAATAAGATTTTGGGCCCCTCAGCTCTCCCTCTGGGGCCCAAAATCTTATTGGATCTGCACCTTCCTCCTTTGTTGATCAATAAAGTACAAGATCTGATTCTGCTCCACAGGATTGTACTGAGTGTTTTCTCAATTTGGGCTGGGGAAACACACACACTCAGACAGGATTATTTTCTGTACATCAGTATCAAGGATCGTTTTGCTTCTGCCCCCCCCCCCCGGAGACAGAACCTCTATCACACAACAAAAGATGACAACCAAAAAGGTCTTTACACAGAGTGCTACCATTAGTCATCTGTAATAATTACGGGTAATGAAAACGAAGGCAGCAAACAGCCCCATAAAAACACAACCGTTCAGGCAGACATGTACCAACGACGAAGGGAGAAGATCTGTAAGACTGGTTGGACCTGTGGGAAATTTCCCCGGTGAGGACTCAGCCAGAAACTTCTGACTCTCTGTTGGTACTAAATAACGTCAAATCCCCGGCAGACGAGGGCCACTTCAGGTACAGCAGAACTGGTAGGAAACTGCATGCCGCAGACCGCATGTGGAAAGATGATAATCTCTGACAACTGTCCCCGGCATACACGAAAACCAGCCACTGCTTCCCAGGATGTGCTGAGGCAGCAGATGCCCCCCCCCCCCACACACACACACACACACAGAGTGTGTGCTGGATCTGAGCATCAAGTGTAATTCAATGGAGAAGGCCTCGGGCTTGGGTCTGAGTCACAGGCTTGCCCAGGGCTATACTGTGAGCAGAAGTAGGCCTCTCTCGTCAGTAAAATGGGTGTAACCGATAGTTACCTCAAAGGGAAAGCATTTTTGCCTCTTAGAAAGCCCATGGAAATGATTCGTAGTACGCAAGTCTCTTTCTTTCTCTGTGACGGTTGCCCGGAGCTGTTTGCAGAAGTCCTCTAAGAAGGGAAGGCCGTCCACGGGAGAATGCATCTCTGAGTCAAGGGGTTAAGAGTGGCTGACTCTGATCTGGAGAGCCGGGCGGAGGGGAAGCAAACGCCGCCGGTTTGCCGCCGGCTTTCCAAGCAGCCCCACTGGCTGAGGGTCGCAGCCTCTGACTAATCGTAGCCTCTGGAATGAAAGCACCTCTTGGCCACAAGGGCTGCCGGAAGTTTAAGGCTCTCTGGAATGCAGAGTCCTGTAAACAAATACCCTCCGGCAGTCTGACTCAGTCCCTTAACAGCCAGCCGTACTTGTCAGACTGACTCTCTTGACTCCCCAGGGGGGGTGCTCAAGCACAAGGGGGCACCTAAATGGACAAGATCTTTGGCTGCCTTGGCAGAATTCCTTCCTCCTCACAAGAAAGAAGAAGAAGAGGAAGAGATGGGATTTCTACCCCGCCCTTCACTGCCCGAAGGCATCTCAGAGCAGCTTGCAATCTCCTTTCCCTTCCCCTCCCCACAACAGACACCCGGTGAGGTCGCCAGAGCCACGGACAGAAACTGCTCTTATCAAGGACAGCTCTGACAGAACTATGGCTTGCCCAAGGTCATTCAGCAGCTGCAAGTGGAGGAGTGGGGAATCAAACCCGATTCTGCCAGACTAGAGTCCACACTCCTAACCATTACTCCAAACAGTGTTCAGTCCCACTGCGGAGAGATGGCCATGCCGGTTCTTCCAGTTCTCTGTCTGGCCTATTTGCTGGCTGGCCTATTTGCTGGCAATAACAGGAAAGGCAACAAAGAGTCTGTCAGATCCGAAAAGGAAGATCACCTGAGACATTATAATAACCTGGAGGAAAACCATGTGGAGAAGAGAGAGACATGAGCTTTGAGGTCGAGACGGTGCAGAGTTGTGCTGGTGGGGGGGAGGGGGGGGGGGGGGGGAGCCGCATCCGGGCCACACAGCCAAAGGCATTTCTCACAAACCCACTCGCTGGCTGGCATCTCATTTCGGAAAGTGACTCGGATTACGACCGGACACCAGAGCTTGTGCGTGAAACATTTGGGAGCGTTCTCAATGCTCCAAGTCAGTGACCTCAGTGGAATCGGAAGTGGAAGGACGGGCAATGCCCTAAGGAAATACCACTGAGAGCCCTGGCCATATAAATAGTTTTAGGAGGTAGTTGGGCTGGCCTTTGGTTGAGGACAGCGACAGGGGGTGGGGGGTGGGGATATTGCATCTGGCACTCTCATATATTTCCCCATCTTTTGTAGCCCCTCCTCCCCCCAAGTAGGCTGGGGAGCTGAGATTCTTTTTCCTTCCGTCATCTTGTACATCAGGGTTGTCGAACTCATTTGTTATGAGGGCCGGATCTGACATGAATGAGACCTTGTCGGGCCGGGCCACGTGTGTCATGAAATGTAATGCCAGGTAGCAGAGATATAAACTTTATAAAGGACACAGACACAAAGATTTTTTTTTTTTGCTTAAAATAAAAAACATGCTTAAAACATTAGCTCCATAAGCCGCAACCCTACTTTTGGTTTATCGACATTCACCACAGAAATCCCATGCTCAGAGTTCTGAGTCTAGGACCCAGGTGAAAACATGAAATGGCTGAGTGATTAAGAGAGTCTGGCGAAGCAAGCTACGAAGTAGCAGAACTGGAAGCAGGAGATGGCCCAGTTCCACTGCGGGCCGGATGGAAGCCCTCCGGGGGCCTGGTTTAGGTGGTTTTAATCTTGTTGTTATATTAGAAAAAAATGTATGCTACTCTGTTGTAAGCCGCCCTGAGCTCTACCTGTAGGGAAGCGTGGCCTAGCAAATTTAATTTAATTTAATAAATAAATAAATAAATAAATAAAGTTCAGTAGAAGAGCAAGAGCAAGGCCAGCAGCACCTCTGGGACCAACAACAGTCAAAGTTCACTTCGTCGGATACTTCGTCAGAGCGTTGACTCTCAGAAGCTTATACCCGAAAATCTTGTTGGCCTCTAGGATGCTACTGAACCCAAATCTAGCTCTTTGCCACTCAAAGTGACCGATCAGAAGGCAGCGAGGAAGAATATCCACATCTGTCATATCCGGCTGATGCTGAGACTATGGCATCAGATCGGCACACTTCAGACAGGGAAAAAAATTATTATTCTGTAACTTGCATTAAAAGAACATATTGAGAGTCATTATCAGGGGGCAGGGAAGCCATGTGCCAAGAGTCCGAAGCGCTCCATACGGCAAAACCTGATGCCTGGAAATCTGCCCCTCTTCCTCACTCCTTACCTGAGTCTCTTCCATCTGAGAAGAATCGTTCCCCAATAACGGCTCTGCAGGAGGTGCCTGAATGGTGACCGACTTCTCAGACCGACTGCCATCTTTGCTCCGGGGTGACTTGTGCCTGTCTCGGCTCCTTTGCCATGGGAAGAAGAGAGAAAAGGTGCGTTTCACAAAGTGATCATCCCGCGCTTCGTCAAAAATAAGCCCTGACAGGTCTCAGCAGTCTCAGTGGAAACTGGAAGCGGCTTTGAAAAGCCTTTTGGCCTCCGCCAACATAAGGAAGGCTGCGATCAGACGGGAAAGTTAATCTGATGTCATGGCAACTCCCTACCAGATCTGAAGTGCACAATCAGACGGCGACATCTGCCTCCTGTCCCTCAGTCGTCAGGCCCCATCCTCATCCAACTTTCCCAACACCGGATAAAGTCCAGTGTTTACCACTGAACTTGTCTCACCGCAGATTTCTGGCATCGGATCTCTCTCTTGCACACTCAAGCCGCTTGGTGAGGTCTGACACTTCTGGTCCCTGACTGCCTTTTTTTTTTTTGCAGTTAGCAATGTGCACATAACCACATATCTGATCCTAGCAAATAAGCAGTTATGCGCATGCACACATTAGAGGTTTTTTTTAAAAAAAGAAGCTGCCTGCCCGCCCTCTCCCCGGTGACCATACAATGGCGGTCTGAATGGTCAACCGCAGGGGGAAGCAGGAATAGGGGGGCATGTCTGGTTGCACCTCTCTGGAAAAAATAGCTCCGGAGAAATTAAGAGGCGCAGCCAGATCGTGCCAAAGCCTGCCATCTGATCGCAGACGGAGCCCATGGTCATGCAAAGCTGTTTCTAAGGTCCCCAGTAAGAGAGGGAGGCTGCAAAGTAATCCAAAGAAGTGCCATGTGCCACTCTGCCTCATTTCTAAAGGAACCTTTTTGTGAGGAACGAGAGCTGAGGATCCAATTTCATCCACCTCCTGTGACACAAGGGTTGCCACTAAAATTTTATTTTTCATTTCCCTGACCAACATTTGTCAATTTCCCTGACCACCATTCAAATATAACCAGAAGTTAAAAAATGAATAGGCGTATTGCATTAATGCAAGGTAAGGTTCCACTCTACAACTACACAAGTCTCAACTGCAAAAAAATTGTCAAAGAGATTTAATATCAGCTTCTCTCAACATCAACTGCAGCAACATCTGTTTTGCCATTGCACCAAAAATTACACCGACACAAATTTCAATTCAAGTAAACTCTGAATGCTAACAAATGACATAACATTTTTGTTATTGTTTTAAAGGTACACTAAATATTATATAAACATTCTATCTAAAATGGTTGGGAAAGGGCATCATTAAGTTCTACTTGTATTCTGCTACTTCTCTATTCCAGTTGCCACAAGAATAGATCAGGCTCTTGCAGCAGCAGGTCAAAAATCCACTGCTTGAATATACTGTGGACCTGGCGTGCGTGACCGAGACCTGGGTTCGAGACGGGGAGACAGTAGCGCTCTCCCAGATGGCTCCCCCAGGTTTCTCGGTCCTCCACCAATCCCGGACAAAGGGGTGGGGGGGAGGAGTGGCCTTGTTCGTTCGGGAGGCTTACTCCTTCAGGGCCCTCCCGGCCGCGAGGATCTCGGGCATTGAATGTGCTGGCTTTGTGTGGGAAGCTGGGGAGAGTTTGGCTGTTTGGCTAGTGTACCGTCCGCCCAACACACAGGCAAGCAGCCTGCCAGCTCTGGTGGAGGCCATGTCGGGCTGGGCGCTGGAGCACCCCAGGCTGCTGGTTTTGGCGGACTTCAATGTCCATGCCGACGACGCGACCTCCACCCGATCATTGGACCTGGCCTCGTCCATGGCGGCGCTGGGACTCTCCCAATGTGTAACAGTTCCCACACATCAAGCTGGTCACACGCTCGATTTGATCTTCGCGGCGGGGATCACAGTGGACCGGATTACTGCCTTGGCAGTTCCATGGTCGAACCACTATGCCCTGAGGGCCCGAGTGAATGTGTCACCCAAACCCTGTTTGGGCGGCGAGCTAATTTGGGCTCGCCCGCGGAGCCAGATGGACCC